GTCAACCCCATACCTAGTCCGCCCCCATCCTGGCCTATGCCCGCCACCCCCTCTCACTCACCAGCTTGTTGTGAGCCTGGTCCACCAGGTCCCTGCAGCTGTTGGTAATCAATGTAACCCTTGTCAAACCCCCCTTACCTAGTCAACCCCCATTCCCCCATACCTCCCCCACCTGCCCCCACCCTGTGCCTCACCAGCTTGTTGTACGCCTGGTCCACCAGGTCTCTGCACGTGCCCATGACCAGCCCCTCCATTCCTTTATTGCCCCATCCATTCCCACTGCACCCATTCCCACCCCCTTCACGCCCTTCTCTCTCTCACCAGCTTGTTGTACGCCTGGTCCACCAGGTCCCTTGCCACGTTCCCATTCGCGCGGGACCACCAACATCCCTATGAGTGCCCACATCCTGGATTGCCCCAATGATTCCTCCCCCCACCTCACTCACCAGCATGGTTGTTCTCTCCTGCAATGTGTTCATAACCAGGCCAGCGCCTCCATTCGCACCGCCAGCACGCAACACTGTCACTCACCACACTACACTAGGTGCCCTTTAACATGATGAGAACACCCTCTTGCCCACTCCTCTTCCCCACCCCTCTTCCCCCACCCCTCTTCCCTACCCCTCTTCCCCCACCCCCTCTTCCCCACCCCTCTTCCCCACCCCTCTTCCCCACTCCTCTTCCCCACTCCTCTTCCCCACCCCTCTTCCCCACCCTTCTTCCCCACCCCACGCCTCACCAGCTTGTTGTAGGCCTGGTCCACCAGGTCTCTGCACGATGCCCATGACCAGCCCCTCCATTCGCACTGCCATCTTGACATGCTGCATGGCCCCCATGCGTCCCCACCATTGCCCCCATCACTGCCCATCGTCCCCTCCCCCCACGCCTCACCAGCTTGTTATAAGCCTGGTCCACCAGGTCTCTGCACGAGCCCATGACCAGCCCCTCCATTCGCACCGCCAGCGCTGCAAAGCGAGGCACGTACGACAGCACGCCCGCCTGCTTGACGCCCCGGTCGTACCGCTCAATCTGCCCATTCGCCTCCTCCACATACTGGAGAGAGGAACGAAGGGACAGGCGCAGTGGGGGAAGGGGGAGAGGTGAGGGTAAGTGGCGAGTAGAGGCACATAGTGACTTTTGAGTCGACTCAAGAGTAGAGGCACGTACGACAGCACGCCCGCCTGCTTCACGCCCCGGTCGTACCGCTCGATCTGCCCATTCGCCTCCTCCACATACTGGGGTTGGCAGGGGGGAGGGAGGAAGAGGGATGGGTTGAATAAAGGCACACCCGCCTGCTTCACGCCTCTGTCGTACCGCTCGATCTGCCCATTCGCCTCCTCCACGTACTGGAGAGAGGAACAAAGGGACAGGCGCAGGGTGGGGGAAGCGGGAGAGGTGGGGGTAAGTCGTGAATAAGGCACGTACAACAGCACGCCCGCCTGCTTGACGCCTCTGTCGTACCGTTCAATCCGCCCATTAGCCTCCTCCACGTACTGTGAGTGTGCCGTGGTGGGGAGGGGGGAGGGGGGGGGGGGGGGAGAGGCTTTTAGCAAGAGAAAAGAGGCACGTAGGGTAGTACATCACGCCCCCCTGCTGTTCTTGAGTCGACTCAAAAACAGACTCATCACAAGAGAGAGGCACGTTAGGGTAGGACATCACGCCCGCCTGCTTGACGCCCCAGCCGTATAGCTGAATAGTTGCTCTGCTGCTACCCCCTCCCTCACCACCCAAAACCTGAATACTCACCCTCAAACATCCCTCACTCACTCCTCCCACTTACTCGGAAGAAATTCTGCCTGATTCTCGTCTCCAGCTCGAGCAGAAGCTTCCTGGTAATAACGGCTCCACACCCCCCGGCATCAGCCCCATGCTGCAACTGCAGCTGCTGCTGCTGCTGCTGCCACGCCTCCGTGTGCCCCACGAGAGTGATGCAGCGCAGAGGGTCCACCTTGAACACCCACTCCACCATCGCCACAAAGTCCTCATGGATTCCCTCGAATAGCTGCTCCGCTGCTGCTGCCAGTGCTGCCGCATCTTCATCAGCTGGAGGGGAGGAGTGGGGGGAAGGGGGGACGGGGGTCGACCTTGAAGACCCACTCCACAATGGCAGCAAAGTCCTCATGGATTCCTTCAAACAGCTGCTCCGCTGCTGCATCCTCGTCCGCTGAGGAAGGGAATTGTAACAGGGAGGAAGGAGTAGAGAATGGGGAGTGGGGGTACATGCCCTCTAATAGCTGCCCCGCTGCTGCTGCCAGCGCTGCTGCATCCTCCTCCGCTGAAGAGTGGGGTTGTGGTGTGTGTGGGGGTGGGTTAATGTGAGAGAGTGAGAGCATACGGCTAGCTTGGTCTAAGCATGAGCGCACAAGCACAGGCAGGCATGTGCATGCATATGCAAGCACACAGGTAAAATCACACAAGGGCACCTACACACGCATGGTCAAGCACACTCACACAAGGGCACCTACACACGCATGGTCAAGCACACTCACATAAGGGCACCTACACACGCATGGTCAAGCACACTCACACAAGGGCACCTACACACGCATGGTCAAGCACACTCACACAAGGGCACCTACACACGCATGGTCAAGCACACTCACACAAGGGCACCTACACACGCATGGTCAAGCACACTCACACAAGGGCACCTACACACGCATGGTCAAGCACACTCACACAAGGGCACCTACACACACATGGTCAAGCACACTCACACAAGGGCACCTACACACGCATGGTCAAGCACACTCACACAAGGGCACCTACGCACGCATGGTCAAGCACACTCACACAAGGGCACCTACACACGGCATGGTCAAGCACACTCACACAAGGGCACCTACACACGCATGGTCAAGCACACTCACACAAGGGCACCTACACACGCATGGTCAAGCACACTCACACAAGGGCACCTACACACGCATGGTCAAGCACACTCACACAAGGGCACCTACACACGCATGGTCAAGCACACTCACACAAGGGCACCTACACACGCATGGTCAAGCACACTCACACAAGGGCACCTACACACGCATGGTCAAGCACACTCACACAAGGGCACCTACACACGCATGGTCAAGCACTCACACAAGGGCACCTACACACGCATGGTCAAGCACACTCACACAAGGGCACCTACACACGCATGGTCAAGCACACTCACACAAGGGCACCTACACACGCATGGTCAAGCACACTCACACAAGGGCACCTACACACGCATGGTCAAGCACACTCACACAAGGGCACCTACACACGCATGGTCAAGCACACTCACACAAGGGCACCTACACACGCATGGTCAAGCACACTCACACAAGGGCACCTACACACGCATGGTCAAGCACACTCACACAAGGGCACCTACACACGCATGGTCAAGCACACTCACACAAGGGCACCTACACACGCATGGTCAAGCACACTCACACAAGGGCACCTACACACGCATGGTCAAGCACACTCACACAAGGGCACCTACACACGCATGGTCAAGCACACTCACACAAGGGCACCTACACACGCATGGTCAAGCACACTCACACAAGGGCACCTACACACGCATGGTCAAGCACACTCACACAAGGGCACCTACACACGCATGGTCAAGCACACTCACACAAGGGCACCTACACACGCATGGTCAAGCACACTCACACAAGGGCACCTACACACGCATGGTCAAGCACACTCACACAAGGGCACCTACACACGCATGGTCAAGCACACTCACACAAGGGCTCTTCATCGTCGTCTGCTGCTGGGGAGAAGCAGAGGAACTGCTGGAAGAAGAGACCCTGTACATAAGAACCCAGGAGAACACAAGGGGTGGGGGGTAGCGAGAGGAGGGGAAAACGGAGGGGGAGAGAGGGAAACGGAGTCAACTTCAAGGTCTGCTGGGGAGAAGCAGAGGAACTACTGGAAGGAAGAACAGACCCTGTCCGAACGAACCCAGGCGAACACCGAAGTAGGGGAGAGGAAAACAGAGGGGCAAGGATTTTATATTCGATTCGACTCGACTCAGGCGTCACCTTAAGAACCACAGGACTGCTGGGAGAACAGACACTGTAGTGGGCGAAGACAAGGGAGGTGGGAAGGAGGGGGGAGCGAAAGGGGACTTTTAAGTCGACTGTGAAGATATTTTGAGAAGCAAAGGAGCCGCTGTGTATCAAGGAAAACGTAGCACTCCACAGCTTTCAGCCAGCAGCAAACTACTAGACTCACACCCTCAGAAACTCACCTCTTCAGAAATCAAGGGCAGGAACGCGCGGAGCATCTTGGCAAAGGCGTCGCTGGCAGCTTGGGAGTCAGCAGCAGGCGGCAGGGCAGCACTGCCTTGCTCAAGGAAAGGCGGGGCCGTGCTGGTCTTGGCGGAGACACGCGCTGATGCACGGAGATCGGTGGAGAACTCACGAGCCTGAGAGGTGGGCAGGTTGGGCAATAAGGGGGCAGTTAGCATGCAGTCAAAGGGAGGCAGCGCTGCCCTGCTCCAGAGCAGGTGGAGCTGTGCTGGCCTTGGCTGAGACACGCGCCGATGCACGGAGATCTGTGGAGAACTCACGAGCCTGAGAGACGGGAAGGAAAGAGAGTGACGTAAGGCAACAGTTAGCGCGCTGCGGAAGCTGCTTGAGGAAGGGAAGGGCTGTGTTGGTCTTGACTGAGACTCGGGTCGATGCACGGAGTGGACTTCAGTTGAGAACCCTACTAGCCAAAAATACAATCGAACAAGCCACCAATGTCTCACCTCGCGCCTGAGCAGAATGTTGAGTGAGTGGATGTACGTCTGTTCAAGGAAGGGTTGAATCATCACGCATCATCTACATGCCACCTGCACCGTACGGCATGCCACGTGCACCTCTCTCACCTCGCGCCTGAGCAGCATGTTGAGTGAGTGGATGTACGTCCGCCGAATGTTGTCTAGCACGTTGGGATCCAGCTCCTGCAGAGGGAGGGACGAAGGGAGAGAGGAGCAGGCGGAACGGGAGGGAAGATGCAGGAAGGGGGTTGGTCGTGAAACATCTGAGCACGTTGGGGGTCCAGGTCCTGGGGTGAGCAGCATGTTGAGTGGGTGAGTGAATGTTTGTCCGGCGAATGTTGGGATGGATTGCCCTTGTTATAGACATCTTTATTATAGTCAACCTCGTTATAGTCATCCTCGTTATCGTCACCTTAAGGCAGTGGATGAGCTGGGTGTAGGCAGACCATCTTCGGTGCAGCTCCCTATGATCAGGCGGGCCCCTCTGAGACTTCTGCTCCCCATATAGTCACATTGGGAGGGGGAACGGCGGGAAGGAATGGCACAGTAACAGGAGGATATTACTTCTGTTACAATCACATTGGGATGATGATGGATAGGAAAGGGATGGGAGAAGAGATATGGAGATAAAGGAAGAAGAGAAAAGTGATGCAAGACAGGTGTTTTGCATGGTGGGTGGAGGGATCTGCAGGAATTGTTAGCTGCCCAGCCAATCAAACCTATCCCGCTGCCCAGCTAAGACCCACATTGAAGCAAGACAAGGAACGCTGGTGGTAACCGCAATTCTTCCTTATGTGATTTTTGAGTTTTTATTTCATATGAGGCACCAACTCTTCTAAACTCCCGCTGTCAGGCAACTTCATCATCGGTGTTGTCTCATATGAAATAAAAACTCGAATTTACATAAGGAAGATTTGCGATTACCACCAGCAATCCTTGTCTTGCTTCAACGTGGTTCATGAAATTACCCCAACCAGTTACCCTATCTGCGCATCCCCGTGCCCAGCCGTACCGCAGCAGCCTCGACGGTGGAGGAGATGAAGGAGCGAATGAAATCAGTGGCCCGCCGCACGAAGCCATTCTTCAAGCTGTCGAGTTCAGCCTTCTTCTCCCGCACCTGGGGTGGGGAAAGGGAGTAACGGATGAGGGTGGGTTTGGGTTGGGTGGGGGGGGTTGGTTGACATGTTGAGAGAGAAATGGAACAAAGAATGGATTGAAAATGGTGACCTGGTGTACATAGCTGTTCTTCAAGCTGTCTAGCTCTCCACCTTCTTCTCCCGCATGGACTGAAGAGATACTGATTTGAGTAGTAACATGCTAACATGCATGCATGCATGCATGCATACAAATTCAGATGCACACATACATGCACGTATATCACCCTCCCAGCCCACTGTCCTACAGCGTGCATGTTGACGTAGTTCTCGTCCAACTGAGGCAGCTCCAGTCTCTTCACTGCCTCCACCAGCCACCCCACACTCATGCCTAGTACGCACATGCATATGCACACCTGCACTTCCCTCCTTGTCCATTATCTTATCATACAGCGCGCATGTTGACGTAGTTCTGGTCCAGCTGAGGTGGCTCCAGCTTCTTCACGCACCCACCAGCCCGTGCTCATGCCTGCCTGATACGCACATGCATGCATACATGACACAAGCATGAAACCCTGCCCAATGCCCTACCGCACGCATGTTGACATAGTTCTGGTCCAGCTGAGGTGGCTCCAGCTTCTTCACGCACCCACCAGCCCGTGCTCATGCCTGCCTGATACGCACATGCATGCATACATGACACAAGCATGAAACCCTGCCCAATGCCCTACCGCACGCATGTTGACGTAGTTCTGGTCCAGCTGAGGCGGCTCCAGCTTATTCACGGCGTCCAACAGCCATCCCACGGCCTCGAGCGTGTTGGGCATGGCGGGCTCGTCCAGGGAGCCCGAGGAGAGCACACGGATACGTTCCCTACGGCATGCACTCTCTATGCCATGCACACATCCACACATGCATGCATGCACATACCGCGCGCATGTTGACGTAATTCTGGTCCAGCTGCGGAGGCTCCAGCTTCTTCACGGCATCCACCAGCCACCCCACGGCCTCGAGCGTGTTGGGCATGGCTTGCTCGTCCAGGGAGCCCGAGGAGAGCACGCGGATGCACTGCGGCGGGATGTAGAGCGACTCGAGGAGCGTCTCGAGCTCCTCTAGGAGCTTCTTGTTGTTCTTTGCTTGCATCTCTAGCATGTTGTTCTGCGCCTCTATCTGGTGGGGAGGGGGGAGGGAGGGCGTGCGGGAGAGGGGGTAGGGGAGGGCGAGGGCATGGGGAGAGGGCAAGGCAGGGAGGGAAGAAGAGATCCTGCAGCAGCTTCTTGTTGTTCTCCGCCTGCATTTCCAGCATGTTGTTCTGTGCCTCTGTCTGGTGGGGAGGGGAAGGGGGAAGGGGGAAGGGGGAAGAGGGGTGGGGGGGTGTGAGGGCAGGAGGAGGACGGGAGGACCAATCATTCCACCTTTCTACCATTTACTCACTGACTCAGTGTCACCCACGCACCGATTCAATGTCATCGCGCATGTGCTTGAGCTTCACGTTGAACACGTTCAGCCAGTTCTCCATGTCCTCCACTCGTCCCGCCGCCTCGTCCAGGCTGTCAACCACCTGCCAGTGCCACGTCAGCACAACAACCATACAGTACCGAGGAAATGCATAAACTTTGAGCAAATGAAAACGCAAGTGCAACCCCCCCCTCCCTCCCGCCCCCCCCCCAAAAAACAAAAAGAAAAAAAGACAAATAAACAAACAAAACGGTAATCTTCCTCATCCTCCCTTTTGTCCCACTCACCTCCTCCACCAGTGCCTCGCTTTCCAGAATGGCATGAACGTTCGCGGCCTCCAATGCCCCCAGCTCCCTCTTCAGCCGCTCGCTGAACGCCTCTGCCTCGTCAATTCCAATCACATAGCTGTGTAGGGAAAGAGAAGACGGAGGGGAGTAGGAGAGATACAGAGGAAGTGAGCAGTGACAGTAATAAGCTGGTTTCAGAGCTTGAGTGCCTGCTTCAGTCGGTCACTCTAATGCCCCCAGCTCCCTCTTCAGCCGCTCGCTGAATGCCTCTGCCTCGTCAATTCCAATCACATAGTTGGGGAGGAAAGAAGAGGTGGAGGGAAGTGGGGGTACAAGAAGTATACACGGATGGCAAGTCAGGCAACACGTACCTTCGGCTATGTGATTAGGCGATGCTTACGGTAGCCTGATTTTTATGCACTGAACCTGCTGTCACCGCGCTGAACCTGCTGTCACCGCACTGAACCGGCTGTCGCCACGCTAAACCGGCACTTTCAACGCCCCTGAACCGCACTCACATGCCCAGCAGCGCCTCCATGTCCTCCTCCTCCACCTTGGACACCAGGCTGTCCTGCGCCATCATCAACTCACTCTCTACCCCCACCGCCTCGCCATCCACTCCCACCTTGAACCTGCTCTCACCGCACTGAACCTGTTCCCACCACATTGAACCGGCTGTCACCACATTGAACCGGCTTTCACCGCACTGAACCACACCTATGTGGAGAAAGACGCGTCCAGCGTCCTGGACGCATGCGTCCAGACGCTGGACGCTAGTTTAGGGCCCCCGAGACGCAGCAAAAGACGCAGGTCCGGGCAGCCAAAAAAAACCCCCCGGGCAGCCAAAAAAAAGTTATAGGGCAGAGGGAAGAGGGGGTAAGAGGGGGGGGGGGGGGGGGGGGGGGGGAACACACTTTCATAGCAAGGTGAATTAGATGGCTGGTTTTGGGGGTCGAATTTGCTTGGGGGGTGTCGAATTTTGGCGAAATTGACATTCGCGACGAAATCGCGAATGTCAATTTCGCGATCGCGAAAAAAAAAATCTCGGTCTGCCCGAAAAATTTTCCAGGGTGCGTCCTGCGTCCGGACGCGCGTCCTGCGTCTTTGCGTCCGGACGCTGCGTCCGGACGCAGGACGCAGGGCTGCCCCAGCGTCTTTCTCCACATAGAACCACACTCACGTGCCCAGCAGCGCCTCCATGTCCTCCTCCTCCACCTTAGACACCAGGCTGTCCTGCGCCATCATCGACTCGCTCTCCACCCCCACCGCCTCGCCCTCCCCTTCCTCTGTCAGCCGTGCTCCTCCTGGCAATGACTTGGCGTTTTTCTACACGGTTGGGGATGGGGGTAGGGTAGGGGTAGAGAACGGTGAAAGCCGATCAGAAAAGGTTTCATAATCCAGCCCCCCCCCTCCTCCATCAGCCTCCCTTCCCTTGGCAACGACTTTTTGCACAGCAAGAGGTTGGGGAGGGATGTGGGGTTAGTTTGTTTTTGCACGTCTTGAGGTGCAACAACTAATCTATCCCAGAAAGACACCAGTTCACACACGAATTGCACACGAATTGCACCCACACCGCACCACACCCCACAGCACCCCACCCCACCCACCCCACCCCACCCCGTCCCACCGTACCCACTCCACCGCAACCCACCTTGGCCCACAGCGCGAGGTCGACCACATCGAGCCCAATGACTTTGGGGAGCGTTTTCAGATAGTCCTTGCACATCTTGAGCAGCAGAAACACCAGCTGGTTCCTGCAGTTGGAGTGAGGTCAGGTCAGACGCAGGAAAAGAAGAGAGGGGATGTGAGGGTAAGAGGCGCATCAGAAACCTCATGAGGTAGTTCTTGCACATCTTGAGCAGCAGAAATACGAGCTGGTTCCTGCGGGTTGGGATAGAGGGCGGCGATGGGGACGACGTGATCAGATGCCAGGCCTGCATGTGCGCGAGTGAGAGAGAGCAGACCTGTCGTCGAATGGGCAACTTTTAAGTTGCCTGTGTGCATGTGTGTGGACGTGAGTGTGTGCATGCATGTATAAGTGAGAGACGGCACGGCACACCTGTCGCCGACTGTCCTTGTGGTCCATTGAGGCTGTGAGCTGTCCTGTTAGTCCATTGAGGCAACTATCAAGTGCGTGTGTGCATGCATGCATGCATGTGCGTGTGTGAGAGACGGCACACCTGTCGTCGACTGTCCTTGTGGTTCATTGAGGCTAGCTCTCAGTGCGCATGTGCATGCATGTGTGTGCATGTCTGTGTGCACATGTGTGAGAGACGGCACACCTGTCGTCGACTGTCCTTGTGGTCCATTGAGGCTGTGAGCTGTCCGTTTTCTCGTCAAACACCTGGCAGCACGCCATTGGTGGAGAGACGAAGGAAGAAGAAAGCGGTGAGAAGGGAGATAATGAAATGAGATGCCACACATGCACGTGTTCTTCTGAGACGTTCAAAAGAAGCACCAGCTTCATGCTCGCGAGTGAGCGAGTGAGTGAGTGAGATGAGATGAGATGAGATGAGATGAGATGAGATGAGATGAGATGAGATGAGATGAGATGAGATGAGATGCTCGTAAGAGGGCGAGTGCCTAGGAGGAGAGTGAGTAAGTGAGTGAATGGGTGAAAAAGAGGCCTACCAAGAGGAAGGAGCGGCCTGTGGTGTCACTGGTGACTAGCTCAATGCTCGTGAGGGCTCCCAATCGGTATGACTTGAGCAGCTGTGTGTGTGTGAGAGAGGGGGGGGGGGGGGGGGGGGGTTGGGGGGTTTGCGGCATGGGAGGGAGCGTGTGGGGGGGGGGGGGGGGGAGGGAGAGGAGAGAAGGGGGAGAGAGGGGGGGAAGGGACGGCGTGGGTAGGGGAACGACGTGGGGGAGGGGAAGGCGCGGGGAGGGGTGGTGGGAAGGGAGGGTGGGACAAAGGAAGGAAGGTGAAGAAGGGGGGAGGGAGATAAGGAGAGAGGTGGAGCTGGGTGAGAGTCGAGACGACTGCTGCTGGACTGCATAAGCAGAGTCAGATGGGCTGAGCAGGAAGCTTTAGGTCTGGCAGGTTTGGAAGACAATTGCCAGTTCCAGAATTGGTAATATGATAGCAACATCAGGAGGAGGTGCGGGGATGATTGAAACAAAAAACAAAACCGTACAAAACAAAAATAATCAAAAGCGCCGACCTCTAGTCCTTGAGGTCCGGGCTTGATGATGTGGATTTTTGGCTTCTGTTTCCCCGTGTTCTCCTTGCGCCTCACTGCCGGTGAGGATTGAGATAGTCACAACAAGCTTCAGGATTGAGTCAAGAATTTCACCCTAGCGACATGTATTGCGAGAATCATGAAAGAACTATTACTCAATGAGATGGGGAGGACGTCAAAAAAATAGTTAACAAAAGGACCCGACCGAGAGTAAATGCGACCTAGAGCTAGTCAGTGTCGGAACTGTGCCTAAATTGCATATCGCCAATGCCTCAAATGCCGGAACATTAATGACTATGCACTGCATGATCGTGGTTTCACCAAGAGGAAAGCTTTGGAATATTCTGAAAACCATCAACATTCAGCATGTATCAGCTAAGACCAAAGAGTGAGACTACTCATTTTCGGACATTGCTAGTCAGCCTCGTCCGTAGGAGCAATGATACATACGACGTACCTACAATAACCTAAAATTACTGTTCCAGCAACTGCAGTACACGACATTGCTCACCGCCAATAGCGAGGATACGCGGTTTGCTCTGCAGCCGCCCGCGTCGCCCGGCGACGGTCCACGATGCCTGGTTCTTGGAGAGTTTCATCGCCATGAGAATCGTCTGCGACGGATCTTCCAGCAACGCCTCCACCTGCTTCGTCAGGTCCGTGCTCCCCGCCATCGCGACGGCTGGCGAAACTCCGGCGAAAGGTAACGAAAGCTAGCGACGAAAGGGACGGCTTCTGATGCTCGTGACTGCCGGCGAACAGTCGTTACGACGACGGCAGCAACTGAATCAGGAGAAATGTTACTATCGAAAGCTAACGCCCGCTGCGACGTTCGTGAAAACGCAGCGACAGACGGAACCCTAAAGCGTTGCAATCATTGGAAGTGTTCTTCCAAACTGACCCGTTTTGAGACGTCTCAAAAGCAAACCATCCCGGCAAACCGACGGTTTTTAGAATCACAGAGCTTCAAAATGGAAGACTGAAAGCGGGAGTCAAATTTCACGAAAGCTGGAGAGCAGTCACGAAATTTACAAAAAAGGGTAACAGGCCGCGAGGACGTGCGAGAAGACACCCACACCGAGGGAGAGCGAGCAGAGTCTGCTAATGGTGCCTATTCGCTATTCACTATTCTCATAGTTAGAGACAGCTGACAGGAAATGTTCCGTGAGTTACAGGTATGGCAGTAGACCAAGGTAGGTGCTGCTGCTGGTGACGAACCTAGATAGTGGCGATGATGGCGGCAATACCTTGGCTGGGGATGGGGCGGACGAGGCACCCAAGGTATTGTCCGCGTTAGGGAGTGCATTATGGGGGGTACGCAATTTCGTATTTGGGAAATCCAGTGCTAAACTTAATAGTGCGATTTTGTATTATCTTGCCTGGTTTTTTAGTCTTCAACCAGCTCAAAAAAAACCATAAATGATTTTTCCTTTACATGCATCTTGTGGATTCATCCAGCTTCGAGCCTGCTTGCTTGTTGTTGCTAAAAGAATTATCCTTGTGAACACACAAACAAAGTTGTAATTGGAGCAAGCATTTAGGATACTTCATTATTTATAACTAAACAAAAGTAACATGCAGGATGCACTCTTAACAGAGGGTACAAATAAAAAGCAAAAGCAAAAACAGGAAAACTTACTTGTTATATGGCATTCCATGTAACAAGAGAATTTAATAAAGATATGAAGGAAATCAGGAAGGTGTCACCCTTCCAGAAGAATGTTTCACACGGCGGTTGTAGCCCTGCGAAGTTAGTAGCTCCCTCCCTCTATCGTCACACTTGAAAAAACACTCCTTCATGCCACATTGCAGCGGCAAAAAGCTACAAGCGCCGTGTGCCAACACATTCCATCGCGCTTGTAGCGAGTATGGGAAGGAGGTTGAGGAAGTCGGGTACAATAGAAGGAAGCAGAAGGCAGTGATATGGAGCTGGTTGATAGGAGTGGACGGAGGAGAAATAATTCAGGCCAGGTTGCTCAGTGCTGCTGCGCATCCTTTGTCTCTTGTGACGGGTGGCTATCCATTTCCATGCCCTCACCCTCGCCCTCACTCTGCATTGTCAGGGGCATCAGTTGTGTGAGGGGAGCAGCATCGACAAACGCATCCCACCAATGCTGCTGCTGCTGCTGCTGCTGCTGCTGCTGCTGCTGCTGCTGCTGCTGCTGCTGCTGCTGCTGCTGCTGCTGCTGCTGCTGCTGCTGCTGCTGCTGCTGCTGCTGCTGCTGCTGCTGCTGAAGCTGCTGCTGCTGCTGCTGCTGCTGCTGCTGCTGCTGCTGCTGCTGCTGAAGCTGCTGCTGCTGCTGCTGCTGCTGCTGCTGCTGCTGCTGCTGCTGCTGCTGCTGCTGCTGCTGCTGCTGCTGCTGCTGCTGCTGCTGCTGCTGCTGCTGCTGCTGCTGCTGCTGCTGCTGCTGCTGCTTGCGTCGGCCGAGCAGCAGCAAGCTCAAAGGAGCATCTGTAACCCCCAGATCCTGCGCTCGCTGCACACGCACAGTTGCTGCTGCTGTGCCACGAATTCCTGCCGAACCTCCTGCCGAACTTCCTGCCAAGCCTCCTTGAATTCCTGCCGGACATGTGCGGGTGCTGCTGCTGCAGATTGTGGAGGGAGCTGCAGGAGAGCTGCGGCTCTGAGGTAACATGGGGATTGCGGGGAGCGGATGGGTCTTAGCAGGAAGGGAAAAGGCAGGAGTGAGGCGGGTGTTGGACGAAGGGGGTGAGAGGGTGTGTGCTTGGCTGGTGGAGGGGAAAGCTGCAGCGGGGGTGGTCGAGGGGAAGGCAGCAGCGATAGTGGCAGGGGAGGATGGCTCTAGAGGCGAGGTCGGCCCGGGGGAGGGAGAGGGAGAGGGAGAGGGGGAGGGGGAGTGGGAGTGGGAGGGTGAGGGAAAGGCGAAGGCTTGGGCGTTTGCAGTGGGGGATAGGAGTTGGAGGTTCGAAAGCAGTGGAAGTTGGGGAGAAGAGGAGGGAATGGAGCCGGATGGAATGGATGGAGTCTGGTCGCCAGCATCTGAAGCTGTTAATAACGAGGATAGGGCGTGTGAGGAGGCAGCCTGGGAAGGGGCGACTGGGGAAGGTGTTACCTGGCTGAGCATGCGGGTAACAGAGTCAGATATAGCGCTAGAGGAGAGAGCAGAAGAAGGGAGAGCGATAGAGGGGAGAGTGGTAGAGGGGAGGAGGCAGGGAGAGAAGGTGGGAGATGTAAAGGCTGATGAGGATGACAGCACAGGGAAACACAGTGGAGAGTGCCATGCTTGCTGCTGCTCCTCCTTCTGTTTCTTCTGAGTCGACTCGAAAGGCTGCTCCTGCTGCTGTCGCTCCAGGTATTGATCTAAGAGAGACTGAGACCGCAATGCCGCAGCTCCCGCACACTCCATCTCAAATCCAATTCCTGATTCTACCTTCTCTCCTGCCACCGCTGCTGCTGCCAATGCTGCTGCCGCTGCTGCTTCTTTGGAGGTGGTTTCAAAAGGGCATGCCATGCCAAATCCTGATTCTACCTCTGCTCCTGTCGCCACTGCTGGAAATGCGCTCTGGGACGTCTGAAGGCCTGCTGGCAGTGCTGAGATTGACAATTCTTCCTTCTCCCTTTTCTTCTGCTGCTGCTGCTGCTGCTGCTGCTGCTGCTGCTGCTGCTGCTGCTGTTGCTGCTGTTGCTGCTGCTGCTGCCATGTGTCCACCAAAGGCAATGACATGCCTCCCATTGCCACATCACTCCCTGCTATCCAACACTGCTGCTGCTGCACTGACTCTTTTCCTCTCAAAAGGTCCAGATTTGCTGTAAACATCCCTCCTCCCACCAGCTCCCCCTGTCCATCCATCTGACCAGCACCCACACCACCCACACTACCCACACAACCCACACCAAAACCTGAAGGATGACAAGTCCCCACTGCTCCCGCTCCCATTGTGGATCCTCCCATGCTCACACCCTCACTTTTGACTGTAACATGGTTACCACCACAACCGTCCGATACACGAGCCTCCCTCTTCTGCACCCAATCTCCCACAGGGGCGTTTTCAGTCGGAGGTAATTCCTGAGCCATATCCAAGCCTTGTGTAGCATTCCCAGGAATCAGCAAGCCTGTAACGGAAGCGGGGAGGCGTCTAAGGGGGATATGCAAGCGCTGGGAGATGGGCGGGCGGGAGTGAGGGGGATTCGGTGCCTCATGGTTATGCTCGTTAAGGTAGTTGATTATAGGGGAGATAGGGGCAGTATGGGCGACTCCACTGACAGCAGCGGCAGTATCAGCACCAGTAGGGGTAGAGTTAGCAGATGGGAGGAGAGTGGTGCAACCAGCAGCAGAAGGCTGGTCCGCTTCAGCTACTGCTCCTGATTCCAACCGTCCACTAGTAGACGCGTAGGAAACTGCGCTGCTGATAACACCCGGTGTGATCCTCCAGTCAACAATTTTTTTTGCCGGGCAGGGTTCTCGGTCAGGATGCAAGCTGACCTGGCGGGGGTCGCCGAGAAAGCAGCGGTAGTAGGAGCGGATACAGCAGGAATCCACCACTAGCGGTTTTTGTCCGTATTTGCACCAGTCGTACCCGTCGTCTGGCAAGTCAACCGGGAGCCACTGGTACCTCTGCCGCCCGCTGACCCCGCCACTGCTGCCACGCTGCCGCCCGCTCTGCCGCCCGGAGGAGCCAGCACTGCCACCGCTCCGCCGCCCGGAGGTGCCAGGGTTGCTACCGCTGTCGTGGTCTGCTGTGGTATCCAAGCCTCGCTTGCAGGTTCGGGCAGCAGCAACAGTGGCAGTGGCAGTGGCAGCAGCAGCAGCAGTGGCAGTGAGAGCAGCAGCAGCAGCAGTGGCAGTGGCAGTGGCAGCAGCTGTGGCAGGAGGAGCAGAGACAGCATGTGTGGCGTGAGGTGACAGCTGGGGAGCAGAGCATAGGGAGAAGAATGCTGATACGGACGGAGGGGAGGGAGGGGGGCAATCCAACACACCCCCAGTTGTAGCAGGGCGTGCCATCATCGATCCAGCCGATGAGGGGCGATCTAACACCGCCCCAGCAGAAGCAGAGCAGCGGAAAAAGGATAGGGGATGGTCCGGAGTGGCTGCAATCTCTGTAGCGCCCATTCCTGGGACGGCAGCTGTAGCGACAGCAGCAGCAGCAGCGGAAGCAGTGGCGGCGGCTGTAGCAGCTGGGGTGGCAGCAGCAGGAGGTGCTGTAGCAGCAGTGCTGCTTCTCCGGGACCTTGAACGTGCAAGGTACTTGGCACGGTGTGCAGTTCTGCAATGCGAAGGCAAGAGGAGAAGAGAGGAGAGGAAAGGTTAGTAAGAGGATAGGAGAGAGGACATAAAGCCTGGTAGAAGGTTTTGCCGCAGGAAAGGCTAGGAGGAGAGGACAGGGGTGATGAGATGAGGGGTGATGAGATGAGGGGTGATGAAATGAGGGGTGATGAAATGAGGGGTGATGAGATGAGGGGTGATGAATTGAGGGGTGATGAGATGACGGGTGATGAAATGAGGGGTGATGAGACGAGGGGTGAGGAGATGAGGGGCGATGAGATGAGGGGTGATGAGATGAGGGGTGATGAGATGAGGGGTGATGAGATGAGGGGTGATGAGATGAGGGGTGATGAGATGAGGGGTGATGAAATGAGGGGTGATGAAATGAGGGGTGATGAGATGAGGGGTGATGAATTGAGGGGTGATGAGATGACGGGTGATGAAATGAGGGGTGATGAGACGAGGGGTGAGGAGATGAGGGGCGATGAGATGAGGGGTGATGAGATGAGGGGTGATGAGATGAGGGGTGATGAGATGAGGGGTGATGAGATGAGGGGTGATGAGATGAGGGGTGATGAAATGAGGGGTGATGAAATGAGGGGTGATGAGATGAGGGGTGATGAATTGAGGGGTGATGAGATGACGGGTGATGAAATGAGGGGTGATGAGACGAGGGGTGAGGAGATGAGGGGCGATGAGATGAGGGGTGATGAGATGAGGGGTGATGAGATGAGGGGTGATGAGATGAGGGGTGATGAGATGAGGGGTGATGAGATGAGGGGTGATGAAATGAGGGGTGATGAAATGAGGGGTGATGAGATGAGGGGTGATGAATTGAGGGGTGATGAGATGACGGGTGATGAAATGAGGGGTGATGAGACGAGGGGTGAGGAGATGAGGGGCGATGAGATGAGGGGTGATGAGATGAGGGGTGATGAGATGAGGGGTGATGAGATGAGGGGTGATGAGATGAGGGGTGATGAGACGAGGGGTGATTAGACGAGGGGTGATGAGATGAGGGGTGATGAGATGAGGGGTGATGAGATGAGAAGTTGAGGGTTCCTAAATGACCAAACTCTAGAAACCATTGAGTTTACGTACAGTTTCAAGCTGTGTGTCTTGGGTACGGTTCCTTGCCGTCGTACGGTTTCAGAAGGACACAGCACTGCCCCTGCTTCTGCCTCTGCGTGTGATGCGGCGGTGGATACTGCAGGACTGGGGCCCGAACCTCTGGGGCTGGGTGCCGAGCCTGCAAGGCTGGGTCCCGAGCCAGAGGGGCTCGGCCCCCCCGAACCAGCCCCATAATGGCTCGGTGCCGAGCCAGCGGCAGAGGTGGCGGAAAACTCGCGGCAGCCGCCGCTGGTGAGGGGGGAAGGGGGACGATGAGACGCCGCCGTCGCCGCCTTTGGGGGGGTAATGAGCGGAGTCAGTGCCGGGCGACGGAACCCACCCGGCGGGGATGCCGCCACCAGCGCCGCTCCCGATGCTTCCGCGGATGCTCCTGCTGCCGGAACTGCCGCCAACGTTGCGGGTGTCCATTCCATGACGATTCCGCGTCCCGCGGCATCACCTTGCTCCCCGCCGCTGGGTGCGGCGGATGCAGCGGCGGCTGTGGCGGCGGCGGAAGCGGCGTCGCTTTCTTGCTTGACGAGGACCATGCCAATGTCGCAGTCGTCCCACTCCCAGTACGGGTCCATAGTAACGATCGTGCAATTACGGAACAAATCGCGCTATATTAAGGAAATAAACGCGCTATTATGGAAGGGGAGCACGTCACAAAAAATCCGGCACGGGCCGCATTAAACTCTGTGGATCAACTCAGCTGCGAACGTAACTCTATGGTAAAATAGCTTGTAGGCGGATCAACAAGCGCGGCCGAAGCACACGATCAGCTCGATTGATCGCGAAAAATCGTATGACTGTCTCACGGCAAAAAAATATATCGTGTCAAATACGACGATCACCAACGACGCTGCCGTGAGCATTTATATGCGTACGGGGTGACGCAAGGGTCGCGGCTGATTCAGGCTGTTGCTGCGTTTCTATTTCGAGATTTGAGGTACTTGGCGTTATATGCAGCGGCTTCTTGTGTAGGGCTTTCTTGCAGCATGTGCCAGCACGGATGGCTCCGCGTATCATGAGCTACTGTCACGCAACTTCTTGCGAACAACGGGGGGAATGCACGAGGCAGGACTGTCTACTGTACACTCAAATTTGAGTGCAAATTCCAATGTCTCCGCGTGTGCGCTCAATTTCCCAGCGAGCCGCTCCGCGTACGGCACATTGGCGACTGCGGAGCGCTAAGGGCGTGTCTGAAGTGAATTTCGACGTTTGCCGACGAAACTTTCGTCGACGTTCCTTGACGAAACTCGACATCCGTTTTCAGCTGTGTTCACTTCAGACACCCACACGACAAAATAACCCACACGTGCCATAGGAACACTGTTATAAGTTGCCCATGAAAATTCGACGTGGAATTAACAGAATCATTCATGTAACTCAATTGTTTGCAATCTCGCGAATTTCGCTTAGCATAGATTGTTGCTGGTAACACCGGATATTCTACTGTCACATTGCCAGCGAAATTTCTCTAGCACGTGTCGCTCTCGTCTTAGTTCTTATTCACGTGTGTTTGCCACAGCTATGCAGACATGGCGTGTCGAAGAATTGTTTTTGAAACACTCACTGACTACAGTGACTCAAACAGCTGCCCGGTATCACTGTTCGACATCCCTCGACATGTGCACGAACGTCGAGTTTCGTCGAGGGATGTCAGGCTGCACTTCAGACACCAACACGCGTGGGTCCCACGGATGAGTTTCGTCGACGAAATTTGACGAAACTCGACGTTTGCACTTCAGACACGCCCTAACCCCCATGACGCGGTATGGAAGGTCGTTTGGTTACTGTTTGCCAAGTTCCCGATCTCTCATTCGCTGAAGTACAGTCCAAAATACGGACAAACGGCGTGACAAATTGATTGCTACGCGCAACAAACTGCCAGGACACTATGATTGTGAGCAACCATAAGAGAATCTGTCCTACAGTGCGTCGTTCACGCCATGAACCCTGGATAAACACCCTCACGAATATTCTGGGTAAGCTTGCGATGAAAATAACAATCTTAGGATCTGGGCGCTGGATATGCGCTAAACAAAGTTACAGTATGGTGGAGGATCGATGTTTTGCCGTCGATCTACAATCTACCAAGCCCTCAGTCGTAAACTGCCTACGCTCAAGTTGCGGCAAGTCGACCCTCTTTCTGGGAGGTTGACAGTACAACATTGGCTGTTGAATTGAAGCTTCCCACACCCCTCGGAAGCCACTCAACAACCATTGATTCACTTCAGCGTAGTCCACTATTGTTGGACGAAAGCACTTACACAAGAAGGGCAGCTAGTACTGACCTGAAAAATAGTCCAAGGTCTTGACACTGCTCGCACCCCCCCCCTCCCCCCACCCTCTCGCCCCCACCTCACAAGTCTGCTTCCTCAATGATCGTGTTGGCGTGTCGTTCGTCCCCGCTCTTTTCTTGCCAGCACCACGAACGAAAGTGAGGGAGGCGCGTTGTACCAGTAAGGGTTTTATCGCAGTTTAGGGCGGGTCGCACGTTCGTTGCAGCTCATGTTTCACAAGTAATGCTGGTAAAAAGCGGTTCAAAGCGGTAAAGGGAATATACAGCTCTATAGTGGACAGCTCGTAGCCAACCGCTAAAGTACATCAATTGTGAGCCGGGCAAGTGCAAGCAGGAAACTGCCACCCACTACATGTACTGTATTGCATTCACAGCCCAATCCAGAAAAGGCCCCTCAATCTGAGCACACCCAGAATCCCAGGTGCCGTGAGCGAAGCTGGTCCGCAAGTGCTCCTCACGCGTCAGCAACTACCTCTAAACCGAAACCCGACTCAGGGGGTGTCCAGTTCGTTCATTTCGGGGTTTTTAGTGCCAACACACGTCTCGAGGTTCAAAAATATTCACTGTACCTAAAAACGAATGCATTGTGAGTTGAGTCCCACCAAACATGTAATTTCAGGAGCGCGGACACGTTCTCCGCCACACGAATCAACAGTGCTCTGATCGCGTTCAAAACGAGGTAACTGTTTCCGTCGTCAATCATAGCTAACGAATTTTTGGGCAGGCGGGGGGTGTGTTGACGAGTGTAGCGAGCTACTGGCGAAATTGTGCAAGCGATACAGGGGGCGCTACTGTAGTGGCCAGGACGCGGTGCTGTACCCTTGTTCGTGTCCCCGCTGATTCCAGTAACGTGAGTCAGACGACATGAGGTACGTGCAGGGGGCGTGCCGTTTTGTGAACGAAAGCTGATTGTGTCCGCAGGACACGTTCAATACAGTGTTACAACAAAAAATGTGGTAACTGAGCGGGCTTACGAACAGTAAATGTACGAGCTGGACACCCCCTCAAACTATCTTTTGAACAGCAGCTCTCCAGCATTTCTTCTATATTTTATCATTGTTAAAAGTTGTTCAAGGTAGCAATGAATCTAGGTAGCAAGGATTGCACTTAAGTGTTCAATGAGTACAAAGAATGAGCGAAGGCATGAGCGAATACTTATACGCGAAAATGTGCAAACAGTAACGCGGTGCGTGCGAGCTAGCTAGTGCTACGCTGGCGCGAGGTTCGGGCTAGTCCCGAAGCGTAGGCCGACTCGGCTGCTCCAAAAGTGCGAGGTTTGGTGAAACAGTGCGCGCGAAGTTGGTGAAGCCCCGTTAGCAGTAACGGGCGAACAACGGCTGCTGCTGTACGCGATGTTGACGGTCGCGGTAAGGAATAGCGAGAAAATTCCTTACACTACCCCCCCCCCCCCCCCCCCTCAAGAAGCCCCCTC